GTAAAAGCAGACTAACACCACCTTTCTCATTACGCGGAATAAGAAACAAAGCGGAGTGGCCTCCAGGGACCTGGCAGTTCCCATGTGCCCGGCACATGACACCTTCTCTAGCCTCCACAGCGGTCCTATGCAGGGCGTCACTGGTCCCATTTTACAGAGGGGGAAGCAGGCTCAGCGAGGTGAGTGAACTCGCCCTTGGGCACCCAGCTGGTAAGTGCCGGAGCAAGGGCTGGACCCAGGTCCCTGTGACTCCAAGGTGGTTTTCCCTCTGTACCTGGCACCTGGTGGCCTGTATTCTTAGGGGCTCCTTTCTCTTCTGTCAAGCATACATGTAATGATAACCCCAGGCAGAAGGGCTGAGAGGATTTTTATTGGGTTACAGACACAGCGGTATGGGAGTCAGATAGATGGTGTAGTCCCTGCCACCTGGAAGGTGTTGGGCGGGCTTTGTGAAGGAGGGGAGAGGGCACTTGAACTGGGGATTTACGAGCCACTGAGGCCTTGGAGGAGGAAAGGGACGTGATCAGAGCAGGAGGAATCAAAGAGTGGAAGGGAAGGAGAACAAACCATAGGGAGATGAGTTGGGAGGCGGTTACACTGACTGGCTACTGCAATAATCCAAGCAGGGAAGAGGAGACAGGCAGGTGTGAAACTGCAGACAGGCCAGCAAAAGGCATACGGGACAGGCCTCTGTGGCCAGCTCCCTTTCTGCTGGAAAGCCAAGCTATTTTCACAAGGCAGCTGGAAGCGCTCCTGGACAATCTCATCTTGAATCGACTGCATTTCATTATAATTTAAGTCTTTCTTGGGCTTCATCAAAGGCTATGAGCGTCTTGAAAAAGAGAAGCGTCTCTTTCCTCAGGTGAGGGGAAAACACGCCAGAGCTTTCTCTTCTAATACAAACTAGACAAGGAGATGCGGCTGAGCTTGGCAGAGCCTGCTGGAGAACGCTAATAGACTCGACCAGAAGAGAATTATAGAAAAAGACAGCTCCGGAGGGTGTGGGGGGAGGGAGAGAAAGAGGCCCCGGGACTGCCAGCCCCATGTGGGCTCAGAGGGAGCGGGGATCAGTGTCAGGGCCCAGGGCCTGGATGGGCTCAGCCTCTCTGCCTGGGGACCAGAGAGATAAGAACCCTTGCCCCCAGCATCCCTTCTGGTCAGTTTCCAGTGATCCCATTAATTATGGAGGCTCAGGGACTAGAATGGAATCCATGGCGTTTCCTGCCTCGCGAGGGAGGATGGAAGTGACCTAGAAACATTAGCGAGGAAAAAACCCAAAAAACGAAAATCTCCACATAGCTTTGACACTCCCACCAGAGGCTGGGAAGGGGTTGGGGGCGAGCGTGTGGATATGCGTGTTTTAAAATATTATCCCAGGCGGATAGAGGTCCCAGGAACCCCTGGCTTCTAAGAAGATGCCTTGCTTTGATACAGTCAGATTATCTTCCTCCTGCCTTTAATGAAAACCAGTGCTGGTCTCTGACTCCCGAGCTCAAAACAGCCTTCGCTGGTGACAGAGGCCGGATTTCACCGCCGCACAGGCTGGAACTGTTCTCAAATAGGAAATCGAAGACCCCGAGGGGAAGGAGGGCAGGGGGGCAGGAGGGGCAGAGCAGGAGCTGAATGCCGAGTCAAGGCTCAGCCACGGCTGCTCAGGCCCTGGAGGAAGGGAGGCAGGGGTTCTGGGCTCGCCACTGGCAGCCCATTTGTCCCCTGCCAGCCAGCCCTCTGCACCACAAGGTGCGCATCCCAGCTCTTGTCAGAGGCTCCTGCGTCTTAAGCAGATGCCCTGTCATGCCGAGCGGGGGGCTGTCACCTCCACAGGGCGAGCGCCATCACTCAGAGTGCACATGGTGGCTGCAAGGCTGCCGGTCCGCGGGCGCTGGGGGGCAGGGCTGGAGCTGGGGCCAGAGCCCAGGACAGGCCAGAGGTGGCTTCTAGAAGGTGTTCCCCGGTCTGTCTGTCTCTCTCGCTTTGTCTTCCTCTTTATATTTCCCATTGAGTCTTCGGTCATTTCACCTCATTCTCTCTCAATCTTTGTCTCCTTCCTCTGAATCTCTTTTATTCTCTTAAGAAAAATGGCTGAAGTTGTTAAGCCAGCGATCAAACCCCCCGCCGGGGCTGACTGGAGCAGCGTGGTGACATCTGGTGCTCTCTTTCTCTGCGGCAGACACAGTGGGCTCCCCGTGGAGAGGAAGGGCAGGGAGGGGGCAGGGTGTGGGGGCGGAAATCAGTGCAAACCGCCTGGCTTTCTGGGCTTGGTGACAGGGGCCTGCACCGGGGAGAGGGCCAGAGCAACCCACAAGGGCAGCCTCGGGCTCCGAGCGAGCAGGCGTTCTGCACGGCCAGCCAGGCCGCCACCCCAAGGGAGGGAGCGGGTCTGTTAGGGGCCACGAGGATGCCCGGTGGAGCCAGGAGGCTCTGGAGCTGTTGTCTGACACGAGCCGGTTCCCTCCGCCTTTGCGTGAAGTGAAAGGGGCAAAGGACAAGCACAGAAGACCCCTGAACTTGCGGCATTCGGAATGTCCCTTCATTTAATCCTCCCACCAGCCCTGGGAGGGGTACTAGTCTAGTCTGAAAGATGAATGAGGCTCAGACAGCCCACGGAATGGCCCCTGCGTGCCTGGCTCGGAGGAGCCGGCATGCTCATTGGCCTGTGATTTTTCCAGTAGCATTTATTCCTGTAGCTGATGGAAACTTGGCCCGTGGCAGGTTCAGAGGAAAGGCAATCAGGGGAGGACGCGCTTCCTGAAGGAAATGCTCAGGTGGGAGCCCACAGGTGGGGAAGGTGGAGGGAGGCGGGAGGAGAGTGGCGCAGGAGCCTGTGAAGGACCCGTCCCCTCCAGCCCCACCTGAGTCTGCCTTTTAGAGGCAGGTCAGGAATGTGGCTCACGGTGCCCTGTCCCTTTTGAGTGATGGCAACATTCTTTTGCTCCGAGGGAAGACGAGGAGGAGGAGGGAAAGGAAGAGAGACAGAGAGAGAGAGAAGAATAGCCTTTCCCACTTCCTTTCACCACCCCCTGCCCACAATGGGGGACTGCGGGCCGCCAGGAAGGACAAAAGAGAACATTTACTGAGCCCACTACGTGCCCCGTGTGCTTCTCCCCATCACAACACCCCCATCCTTATTTTACAGAGACACAGAGAGGTTAAGCAATCTGCTCAGAATCACACAGCTGGTAAGTGGCAGAGCTAGGGCCCTCACTCCCTCCATTTCCCGGGTCCCCAGCTGTGTGCATGCTCTCTGTCTGTCTGTCTGTCTTCAAGCATGGAGCTGGGGGCAGGGTGGTCAGGGCGAAGGGACATACACAGCACCAGATCCACTCAGCCCCAAGGCTGGCTTGGGAGCAGCCGAGGCTGAGCCGGGCCCTGCCACAGACAGAGGACAGAACCAGGGGCGCCACCTGCCTCCCAGCACCCACCAGCTTGAGGCAGTGTAACTGGTTACACCAGCCGGCCTCCCTGCCCACCGGGAGCAGACTGCGCCTGGCATCTTCTCCAGGGGGCGTGGCCAGTCGAGGCGGCGGCTGAGCTGGGAGGGGTCTGTGATGGGTGGGGACCCAGGGAGTCTGTGTTATAGACCCCAGCTGGGGGGTTTACATGTTTACACTCTGTGCTAGGATATCCTTTGGCCCCCAACCTTATGAGCTGGAGATGGAGGGTGGGGGGCTTCCGTGGTGCCACCTGGACGGGCCCTGAGGGCGAGGGTGTCACCTGGTGAGAGGGGAGCCGGGCGCCAGAGGAGGGACTGACACCAGACGGGTCAGCAGGGCGTCCTTTTGCACCAGCATGTGAACCGACCATGATCTGAGACGTCCACGGAACATAACGGCACCCACCACGTGGCTCTCACGTGAGCCCTTCGTGGGGAGCTAACACGTGGCTGAGGAGCGCCAGCATCCAGGCCGGGTGAGAGCCCGCGCCCCTCTGACATGCTCGTGACAACGAAACTCAACTTGGGTCCGTGCCCCTGACGGTGGATGCTCTTTATTTAACCCCGACTGATGTGTGGCTTACACCTACGTGAAAAGGTTTCCGAACTCTTTTTTCCAGAATCAGGAGATTCACGTACAAATCAGAGGGACTGGCTTTCCCAAATGCCTCTTCCCACGGGCTCCACCTGGCGGGCTGGGGAGTGGGGCGCCCCCTGCAGGCGGGGCAGGGCCGCTTCCCTCATTCCTGCCCCTCTACCCGCCCCCAGCCTGGCCCCCAGCACGGGGTCTGGGACCTGCCTGCAGCCCCCATAGCACATTCCTTCTGGTCCTTCACAAAAACTCAGCAACTTCCCTGCTCAGGAAAGGATGGAGGCAGCCTGCCACGAGCGAGGGAGCCTTATCCTGGGTCTGCAGGTGACAAATGACATATTTCTCGAAGGGACACCCAGACTGGACGTGCAGAGCCTGTCATGGTGGCAAATGGTGTCCCGACCACCTGCTCCTGAGCCGCCGGCGAATCCTCTGGGCCTGGCCATCATGCTCTGAGGGTCAGGCCAGGTGGTCCCCGGGCTGTGGAGCCCATGGTGGTTGCCATGGGAACAGCGCCGGGCTGGGCCGGGGAAGGCCGGCTCTGCCCATCACAGGTTCCATCTCCTTTCTCCTTTTCCAGTTCTCGTTCATGGGATGGTTGCAGAGCACCGGGAACGTGCCAGGCCCTGCCCGAGATGTGAGAAGGAGACTAAGACTCAGGCCCCTGCCTTAAGGAACCCCTGGTTCAAGGAGGCGACAGGAACAGACCCCACGTGACCTCACATCCCCGCTGGCTTTGCAGTTCAAGGTCAGAGAGAGGCCCAGTCCAATGCTGAGAGCTGAGAAAAGCCTTTCAGCTGAGGCGACATCAGAAAAGTTTCATGGGGACCGTGGCTTTCAAGCTGGGCCTTGAAAGTTTCCAATAGGGTGAGGGGATCAGAGAGGGCGTTCGGGGGTGGGGGGAGGGCGGGCAGGAGTCAGAGGCTGGAGGTGGGGGAGCACAGGGAGGGAGGGGGCCTGGGGCTGCAGGGGCATCTTCGAAGTGGCTGCTCTGCAGGACGTTAACGTGGCTGCTAGTTCCTCTATGGTCAAATGAAAATGGGAGGACTGGGTTAATTTCCAAGAAAGCGTAGAGAATACGGACTTTTCCAAGTTTGTTTGTTCGCAGGCCCTCCCTCTGCCCCCTCCCTTTTCATTTGCAGCTGAGGGAGCACCCGTTGCGCTGGGGTGGGGGGTGGGGTGGCAGAGGAGGTGATGGGCGAAAGCCTGGATGGGGAGCAAAGCCAGGTCGTGCAGGGCCTCAGATGCCAGGGGCAGCTGTTCTCTGCAGGTGACAGGAACAGGAAAGGTTTCCAGGCAGAAGGTGACATGATCAGCTTTGCTAACATTTGAGAAAGATCGGGGGCTGCTCGAGGAAGAGGAAGACGGCTTCGGCCCTGGACCAGTAAGAGGACGGGAGAGCGATGAGGCAGGGGGCAGGGAGAGAGCCGGAGGGGAGGCGCATCTGATGGCCTCTCGGTGGGGCCGCCGGGCACTGCCGGTGTGCAGGAAAAGTTATTCCCATGATGCCCGGGCGAGCAGCCTCCTAAGAACCTCGGGGGTCAGGCTCCACGAGCTGGGCTCAAACCCCAGCTTTGCTCTGGACTCCCCATGTGGCCTCAGTCAGGTTACCTGACCTCTCTAGATCTCAGCCTCCTTGTCTGAAAACGGGGCTCATAAATAATATTCACCCGGGGCGGTAAGGATTGAGTGAGTGCTCAATAAATATTAGCTATTATTAATTTTAATATGAAGGAGGTTTTATACTATTTGTACAAAAGTCCAATTTGGGTTTATATTCCTGAACTCTGAAATGCTGTTTTATTCTTCCAGGTACGTACAGTAACCCCGCTGGGCTAGGACAGTATCGGCAGGAAGAGGCGGTGGGGGCTGTCCGTGCCTCCCGGCTGCTGTGACAGAACAGCGCAGAATGGGGGCTTACAGACCGCGGTTCACGTCTCACGGCCCCGGAAGCTGGGAGGCCTGAGCCTGGGGCGCTGGCGAGTTCCGGCGTCTGGGGCGGCTCTTTTCCTGGTTTGCATCGAAGCTTCTAGCTTTAACCACACGTGGGGAGGGGCCCAGGGAGCTCTCGTGGGCCTTATTTAGATGGGCGCTAATCCCATTCACAGGAGCCCTGCCTCCTCCTGAAGGGCCCCCCCTCCTCACGCCGTCACAGCGCTGTTAGGATTCAACACAGGAATTTTGGGGAACACGAACATTCAGCCCGTAGCAGGGGCCTCTGTTAACCTGCGGATAATAGTGATTTGTAATTAATGACTCATTCCCGTGTCTCCAGCACTTTGAGCAGTTTCTCCAGTCACATCGTCCCTCAGCGCCATTGGAACCTGGAGCCTGATGCTCACTTGCTGACCGAGGTTTCCACTGAGCAGCAGGACCGAGGACCAGGTCTGGCTGGGAGTCATCACAGCCAGGAATTGAAGACAGGAGACGGGCTGAGGAGAGGCCCGACCACCGAGAGCATCGTTCAGAGAAAGGGGCGGGCTGAGGTCAGGGGACCCCCACAGCCTCTCCCTGGCAGCTGGGGGCAGAGGCAGAGCTCACGGCTCTACTCCCTGGGTGAGGAAAGCCCGAGGGACCTGGAGTCACCCACCAGCCAGCCTCCAGCCATCTGTCTCCTGGGGAACAGGAGCCTGCGGCAGCAGCTGCCTTGGCTCGTTGTCCACCAGATCCATTCTAGCTCCCTCTCGAGCTGTAGAATTGAAGGTGGGCGCCTAGCGGCTCAGCCAGACTATACTTCCCGGCCTTCTTTGCGGTTAAGTCACGTTCTCGCCAGCGGGATGGCAGCAGAAGTGAAGTGTGGTCCATCTGACACGGAGCCTTTCAGACCACGCCTCACCTCCTCCTTGACCTCTTTTCCCTCCCCGCTGTCTACACCCAGCACAGGGCTGAAACCCAGCTTCGTCCAGGAAGGTGTTTACAACGCCCCAGGACTGGTGGAGAAACATGACAGAGGGGATCGGTCTGAGTCTCCAAGCGACCAAGTGAGGAGATCCATGCACCCAAAGCGACTACAAAACAGACACGGAAATTTCTTTGTCCTTTATGGTACGGGATGTTGGGGGGAGATGGATGGCAGAGAGTCTCTTTGTTACAGCAGCTTAGCTTCCCCCAGCTACCACAAAGACCCGCCAATAGATACGACAGAAGAGAATAAGATGCCAGGAGGTCGCTTTTGAATCCAGGACCACTGGTTTCCCTTCTAGAAACAGTTAACATCTCCTGTTGTCAGTTCACATTCAGTACTTTTCACCGAACCTCCACCATACGTCCCGCATGAGAGAAGGGCTAGGGATACAAAGAAATGGAAAACAACAGAAATCTTCAGACTCCGTGACCCATCGCAGTGGGCCCTCCGTGAGGGCCTCGTCCCGTCTCACCTGTCACCTGCGTTCCAGCTTCACTGGGTCCACACCCTTTGCCCAAATGGGACATGAACTTTAACGTCTCTGCCTTTGCCTGTGCTGTGCCCTCTGCCTGGTGTCCCCGTCCCTCCTTCCCCAGGGGAAGGGCCCCTCATCCTTCTGGATGTCCTCCTGGGTATCGTTAGCTTGTCTTGGTGGGGTCATATTACCAGGAAGGTGCACATCCCTCTGGTTTCTATTTGGGCTCTTCAGTGGGTCCCGTTCCACTTTGAATGTCCAATACTGGACACAAGGCCGGCAAGGAGCAAGCGCTCAGAAGCTTCCATCCATTCGACAGGCACTGATGAGGCCCCCAAGGATGGGAGCCAGCGCAGAGAATAAGACACACCGTTGTCCTCAGGTGGCTTCTGTTCTAGTGGGGAAAACAGACACTAAACAAATGTTCACTCTAGCAAATATAAATTACACAAAGTGATGAACAATGTAAGAAAATGAGCCAGGCCTGGTGCCAGAGCACCTTGGATGGATGACTGCTTCCCGATGGGAGGTCAGGGCAGGCCTCCCTGAGGGAGTGCCGTAAGCTGGGACTTCAAGGGAGTGGACGTTAGGGAGGTGAAGGGGGGTTGTCTGGGGTGGGGATGGTGCTTGAGGAAGAAGGCCCCGTGTGTGCAAATGCCCAGAGACAGGGAAGATCTCGGAGTGTGCTTATAGGATAATGAGCGAGGAGAATGGCAGGAGATGGGGCCCGGCTGTGTGAGGATTTGGGGTTGTATCTCCTGGGCACCCGGCAGCTATGGAAGGGCTTTGTGTAGAGGAGTGACCTATGTGGTTTCCATCAGCAAGAGAGGAGTCTACTGCAACGGTCCAAGCCCAACCCGGTGGAGCCTCGGACTCAGGAGGTGGCAGTGAGGGAGGAGACAGGTGGGCAGGGATGTGTTAGAAGTCAGACTGAGGTACGGGATGCGGGAGCTCAGGGAGATGGAGTCAGAGTGGACTCCTGAAGGTTTCTGGGAGAGGGGAAGGAAGGGTACAAGAGAAGAACGAGGAAGGAGGAGGGCCGTGTCTTCAAGAAACGTACCCAGAAATCAGTCAGAGCCGTAACAGATGGTGTGTAAGGCAAATTGAATGACCGGGCAGAGCTTGCGAGGGAAGGACACCATTTGCCCGTTGAAACCAGTGCTGTCAACAGCAGAGTGAGGGAGAAGAGAATTTGTTAAAGACTCACGCCTACCGAGAACGGAGGCAGCCCACGTGTGCGTCCCTAGGGGACTGGTTCAATAAATTAGGGGCCTCTCTTAACAGACTCCCGCGCAGCCATGGAAAAGAACAAAGAAACTCGATGTGGCTGGCTAAGGAACTGTCTCTGAGACAGACCGTGAAAAGGTGAGGTGCGGACAGTGCTATTGTACGCGACCATTTGTGTTAAAGTGGGAGAAACCTATGGATATAAATATATAAATATAGAACATACATTTTTTTCCTGAATATAAATAAACTCTCTCAGAAGCTACAAGAGACTGAGAACATCGGTTGTCCCAGGGAGGAGAGCCAGAGTTAAGGAAGATGTTTCCCTCTGTCCTGTGCCTCTTGGACTTGCAACCATGAGAATGAATTAACTATTACACAATTAATCATTATCATTGAAGAAAGAATATATTCCGGCTTAAAGATTAACCAGCTGTCTCACGCAATGTGTAGATCTGACGAGCTACTGTCCGGGGGACTTCCGTCCACTCTGATGAGCTCCCCCCGACAACCCCCTCCCCCTCCTGCCCTCTATTCCCCCACCCCACCCCCCATGCTGGGGACGTAGCTGTGAGCTGGGGACCTCTGGCTCTGTGCCATCCTGCGCTATAAACCCAGGTGCAAAGTAGGACCCTGGTACCCGCTGCAGGCTTCTACAGTTCCAACTGTTGCTGTTAACATTGATTTTTTTTTCTTGAAATCACCTAATATACAGAAAATGTACGGTCAGTTCCACAGCAGCAAATAGCCGAAATCAACTCACTCCGAGGTCAGAATTCCAAGCCAAAAAGTTTCCACTGAAAACAGCTCCATGTGACCCCATGGGGGCAATCCCCCTTGTGTCCTTGAGGGCCCAGAGTGTGGGGAACTGAGGGAGGCTCCAGCCACTGCTGGAGAGGGAGGGCTGGAAGGAGCCCCCTGTGTTCTGTACGTGAGTGGCCCCTCAGGGACCAGTGCTGGCCCCTGGGCTCAACTCTGCATGGGGCGAGGCGCAAGATGGGAGAGAAGCACGCACGTGATTTGCAGGACCTGGTGCCAAATGAAAAGGGGAGGTTCCTGCTCAGAAAGCATCAGAGATTTCAAGGTGGCAACAGCAGGGCCCTGTGTGACCACACAGGCCACACCCCCACCCAGGAAGCAGGTCCTGCCACCCTGCAGGGTAGGCAGCCCAGATGAGGCTCGACGAGGCAAAGAGCAACACGTCCGGTCACAGGGCAGCTTAGTGGAGGGAGCAGGATTTGAACCCAGGTGAAGCCCATGCTTCTCGCACCACACTGCCTTCTAACAGGATTGCCAACGTGGGGCACTCCGTCCGAGCAGGGCCCTGTCCTAAGCGTCATCCACATATTCATAGAACACACACAACCTCCTGGTAAGTGCTGTTATTGTCTCTGTTTACAGAGAAGAACGTAAGCACAGAGAAGTTCAGTAACTTTCCCAAAGACACACAGCGACTGAGTGGCAGAACTAGGGTGCAAACCCAGGTGGTCTGACCCCCAAGGCACACTCTCCCACCCCACTCTCCTGGGAAGAGGCGGGCTCTGCAGAGAAGGTTCAGGGGCCTGAAATCAGCCCAGCCGACCAGGGTGGGCGGGTCAGCCTTGGGAGCAGAGGGGAAAAGGCCAGAAAGGGCTCGCTGTGACCTGTTTCTAGATTTGTCCGGGACACCTCGGATGTCCTGCGTCATTGCCATAGGCCGGTTGTGCAGGTCCTACACACTCCGACTGCTTGTAGGAACGTGGGCGGCCCGTCTTCAGGGATGGCCTTGGGCTGATGAGACAGCAAAGAGGAGGAAAAAATAACGGAAAATACGGAGAGAAACCTCCGCCTCGCCAGCTTTTCTCCAGTGTGGGCAGGCGGTGTCTAACACCAGGGCAGCGAGTCCCCACCCCAGGGCCTCCAGCAGTGGCATCTCCATCCACAGAGACACGAGCGCCCAGCCCCCAGCCGCCTGCGCGTCCTTACCAGGGCACCGAGACTCTGACCCAGGGTGAGGAGGGGGTTGGCCCCTGGCAGGTTAGGGAAGAAACTGGCATTTTGTGCCTGTGGCTAATAGGGAAAGACAGTGCCTTAGTGGGAGGCACGGGGACTCCAGAGAAGCAGGAATCAGACTGACTTTAAACCCTGGCTCCTTCTCATCTGGGTTCCGTGGGAGCCCGGGGCTAAAGGTCCTACCACGTGGCTCGTTGAGTCCTTCCATGAACCCTAAGAGACGGAAGGTTATGATTCCCATCTTATCAGTGGGGAAGCTGAAGCTCCGAGACAGGAAGTCATCTGTCCGAGAACTCCACGATGACAATGGCCAGCCTGGACCCAACGACAGGTCTGTCTGACCCCAGCGCCTGAGCGGGCTACCGCCAGGCTATTCTGTTCCGCGAGGTGACCTGGGGGGGGCTTCCATTTCCACATCTGGAAATGAGGCCTGAGCTGCTCCGCCCCTGGAATCCGTTCCCGCTAAAAGGCAACGCTGTGCGACCAGCTCCTCGCTCTGCGGCCGGTGCGGAGTCAGGTACTCGAGAGATGAGCGGCGTTGAAGAGCCTGTGGAACCTCCCACAGCGGGTGTGAGGCCTGTTGCACAGTTTGTATGGTTTTATTTTATCCCAGATACCCCGCGTTTGGACCTTCCAGATTCAGCACACTCATGGATGTAAATGAGATGCAAATCAAGCGGTCCCCAATAAACAGAAAACCAAACATCTCTGACTGTAGCTCTTATCTCCTCCTTCTGGAGATCAGGGGGATGGGCTCTCTGCTCACGTCTGTCTGATTTACTGGTCACCACCGGTCCTCCCAAACAAAGGACGGCATTTCCAAGCACCCGCCATGGCAGAGGTGCTTCCAGGGGCCCGGTTCTGGGGCCCTCCCTCCGTCTCTGTGCGTCTTCCAGAGTCAGGCCCTCACAGGCCTTGATGGAACCCACTCAGAAGATAAGGTGAAATTCCCCTCTGCTCAGGACTCAGTGACCGGGATGAGCTCTAAGTGGCGGCCGGACCAGAAGCCTCCACGTGACAACAGAAATTATGACACACACAGGAATAGCTAGAGCTCTGCAGAGTACGATGAGGTACAGACGGCCGGCGTGGTGACAGCATGTGAACACCCACAAGCAACACAGCCAGCTGAACCAGGTGGGTGGACAGAAAGCCCCAGGCCAGCCCAAGGGTGATAGTGGCAGTGGACCCTGGGCATCTGGGAAGCAGTGGATACTACGGCCAAGGAGAGCACCCGCCCTCTCTCTGGCTGGCAGCCCCCCGACCCCGTGCAGGAGCTACAGGCCCGGAGAGGCTGGTATCTCAAAAGAAGCTGCAGACCTTGATTTCTGATGTGACATTCTTGATTTCCGGTTCAATTTGCTGTCATACCATTGAGCTCAACCAAAGCTTGGGGTCTTCTGGCTCACAGACCTCCTGGTTCTAAACCTCTAAGGTAGGTGCTTCTCAACCTTTCCTGGGATCATCAGACGCTTTGAAAACATGATACGTGCAAGTGCAAAGAAAAGCCAGGGTGTGAGAAGATATTTGCAACTCATTTAACTGCAAACAATTGATGCCTAGAATATATTACAACAAACACAACCCAAAAATCCTTTAGGACACTACTGATAAAAAACCATACAACTCAACGGAAAAATGGCTAATGGGCTTGAACTGTACTTTACAGAAAGGAAACCCGAATGGCTAATAAACAAATAAAAAGTGCTCAGTCTTGCTAATCATCAAAGAAATGCAAATTGAGTAACTTTACCAAGCCACACACTCCCCAGATTGGCAAAAATGAAACGTCTGACAATATCGACATGGGGGACACGTGGAGGAACGGGAACTCCCATCCACTGCTGACGGGAATGTCAACTGGTGGCAACACTCTGGAAAACGGTTGGGCACTGTCTGGGAAAGCTGAATGTGCATGCCCGCCATGACCCAGCAACCCCCCTCGCAGTTGTTTTCCTTAGAGAAACTCTGGTGCGTGTACAAGAGAACGTGCCCAGAACATTGTTCATAAAAGTCAAATCCTGGAACCATCCCGAATGTCCAGAACCCACTGAGCTACAGTTACGTGGGGCAAGACTGCAGAGCAGACCTCAGGCTCACGCTCGACGGGGGTGGATCCCAACGACGGAGTGGTGTGGCGTGCGAGAAACAAGTCGGAATATTTACAGTATAAATCCATTAAAAGTTCACAAACAGGCACCACTAAGCCCGGTGCTGTTGAGCAATACGTTCATAGGTGGGAAAACAATAAAGAAAGCAAGGGAATGATAACTTTAAAAAAAATGAGGATAGTAGTTACCTCTCGGGGGAGGAGGGAGACACAATCAGGGAGGGCCCCCCGGGGGGCGTCTAAGATATTGACAGTGTCCTATTTCTCAGTTGGGGGGATTGGTACACGAGCATCCATTTCATTAGTCTTTACGTTAATCATGTAGATTTTAGGTACTTTACGTATTTATTCATAATAGAATAAATAAATCTTTTTTCTTTCTGCCATTTAAAAAAAAATCTGACGAAACCTATGGATCCCACTTCCAGAACAATTCAAAAGCATCCAAACGCTCCATTTAAAGGCAGACGGCTCACAGACCCCTCAGAGATCCTCCACGGGAGGAGCTCACGTACGTTGCTATGGTCGATCCACACATCCGTCGTCCCCGGGGCGGGGTGGCCGTGTTTATTTCACTGGTGCAGTGGTGCAGTCAGGGAGCAATGTGGATTAGAATGTTCCAGCACTTCAGAACCAACCCAGCCCCCCCAAAGAGGACTCTGCTCATTGGCTCCCTCCCCTCCCTTCCTGGAGCGTTTCTGCCTCATTTTCCCCTCCAGGGCCACAGCTCTGACCGGCACCCCTAATTGCTGGGCCCTCTGCTCTCCCCCAAATCTCGGTCCCTTGGCGAAGAGGAAAGTAAGAAAACACCAGAAGGTAGTTAATTGCTTGTGTTACAAATAGTACCCTTGCTTTTTAAACCTTAAGAAGATAATGATCTGTTTTTGGTGTATTAAAGCTTAGTTGTTTAACTGGGGGAATAAAAATCAATGTCAAAACAGGGGAGCCCAGAAGCAGAGTAAACATTCTCGAGAAGCAACGTTGCGAGGTGGACTCAGAAGCCTCACCATGTGGCTTGGGGAAGCCACTTCTTCCCTCGGCCGTGGTTGCCCCTCTGTTCAGGAGGAGTTGGGCTTCTGGAAAATGTCTAAGTAATCTCCAGGGCTGCCATCCCAGGGTTCTCACCGCCAGCTTCATCCACTCCATTCTGGAAGCCACGAGACGAGAGCAGTCTGCCTCAACAGAGCCCAGTGCCTGGTGCGTGGCAGGGGCCCAACTAAGAAAGTTATTGACTGCCTCTCTTCTTGTTCCTGTTCCTCCAGGACCTTCCACAGACTGAGCCCTTGGCTGGCCCTCAATGTTGCTTTCCTCATCCGTAAAATGGGGAGAACCACGTAGGGCCAGTGTGAGAATTAGACGAAATATGTAAATGCCCCTTGCCCAGTGCCCAGCACACACTAGGTCCCATCCAGTTGGTTCCCATTGTGCCTTCTCCATCGGTCACCTGAAATAGTGCCGGGGTTCCGGCTGGGTTCCCCCTCCCCCAGCACACACAGAGCAGCTGCTCCATCGCCAGGACTGACCACCATCCCCCCGGATGGCGCAGAGTGTCAGGCAGGCTGGCACGGATGCTGGCCAATCACTCCGGGTGGCCAGGAACTCCGGGTGCCAATGAAATGCTAAGCCCTCCACCCCGGGGAGCCCTGACAGCCTGTTTGTTAGACAGCGTCCCCAGGGGCCCTGGGGCCCCGACACTCAAGGAGATCCCTCCACACCTCCCTCCCGCGGGCCAAAGCCGCAAAGCTTGAGTCCAAACGGAGGGCGCTTCTGCCTGGGGAGTGGTTAGGGAAGGTCAAAAGTGGGAGACTAGGAGAGAAGGACAGAGAGAGAAGGGAGGAGGAAAGAGGAGGAAGAAGAGAAAGGGGGAAAAAGAGGTTGAGAGAAGGAGGCCAGAAAAGAGGTAGTCGAGAAATTGGGGAGTAGAAAGAGCCAGAGATGGTTTCAGGGCCTGGTGGTGGGAGCCTCGGATAAATATGACTTTGTATCAGCAGCTTGCCTTATCGTCTGCATCTAATTTGGCCTGGGTCAAGGAGGCTCGGTCAAGAGGGCTACCCACTGCTTCTCTTGCCTCGAGGGAGACACACGCTTAACCTCCTGGGGCACAGACTGCCGGAGACCAGGGGACCAGGGCTCGGCGTCAGAACCCGGAAGGGAGGCTGCTGCATGCCTAGACTGACGGTCACGGCTCCTACCGGGTGGCCCTCCCTGCACAGGCCTCGGGTGGTAACAGGACCGCTGTCACCTGGGGCACTGTACTGCGCCCTGAGGTTTCCCCACGTCCCACCCAGATCTCTAAAATCCTCTCCTGTATTCAACTCTCCTCAAGGTACCCAACTTGCGGGAGCCATCTCTTTCCTGCCAGGACCACCTGAAACAAACACATCGTTTGTAACCCTCAAGCGAGCCCTGCCTCTGGGTTATCCCATTTCCACATAAGGGAACTGGAGCCCAGAAGCTCAGAGAGGGGAAGCAAGCAACTTGGCTGAGGGTGCACAGCTGGTGACGAAGGAGCTGGGATCAGAACCCACATCAGCTGGACTCCCAAACCTGGCGTTTTTATGTTGCTCACAGAGAGAGAGAGAGAGAGAGAGATGTTCCACAGCAGGGATGGAGGTCAGGGAGCTCAGAAGTTAACACTGCCACCGCCTGCCTGGGATCTCCCTTAGCTGGAGTCTCAGAGGCGGCCCGGAAACCTTCCTCCCTTGCCCGGAAAGCCGTGTCGACCCTTTCCACCGACGTGTCCGCATGACATCATCCCTCCATCCTTGGTCCCCCTGCCAGCACCCTGGGTCAGACCTCTCTAACTCCCTCCCGCCTGGGCCATTGCCTGGCTGGGCCTCCTGCCTCCATCAGCCCACCACTGTGGGAGGGATCTTTCTAGAACACCCCCTCGCATCGACACTTCTCCTTCCTAGCATCTGTCTCTGCGTCGTCACTGCCTACAGGATAAAGTCCATCCTCTTTGGCATCAAAACCCTCTGCAGCCCGGCCTCCGCTGACCTGCCCCACTGGCCTCGTCACCGCTCCTGCCTGGCAGCCACCAGAACATCCGCAGCTGGACACGGGCCCGCTCCGCCCCCTTCCTGGGTCTTTGATGGACTTTCTTGTCCATCTGGAGCACCCCTCTGAGTCCTCTGTTCTGGGTAAGCTCCTATTTATCTTTCAAGATCAAGCGGATGCCGGATCGGGGAGGGTCCTTGGCTCTCCCTCCATCACCACTTCTCCTGCCCCCTCCCCCCCTCCCAGAGACCCTCTCTCCACTGTTGCCCCCACACTGTTAGCTCCTGCCTTTGGTGAAGCGTTTTTTCTGCTGCCTCAAATCCCGCGGGCAATGAACCGAGGCAATAAATCAAAGATAAACCATGACTGTCTTTACCCGGCATCTTACCTGCCCTGTGCTGCTCTCTCTTGCTGTCCCCTGGACTCTTGAGGGCAGGAGTGTCTCCTCACCCTCCACGTCCCCAGGCCCGAGGTCGGCAGTGCTCAATACATCTTGCCAATCCAGCCACTAGGATGAACGGTCCCCCGCCTGCAGGAATGAGAAGCCTTTGGATCTGGGCTGCTGTGCGGCCTGAGGCAAGCCCCTGAACCTCTCTGTGCTCATTTCCTCTCCCTTATGCCTGAGTTTTAAGATCTGCCACTTGCTCGTAAACATTTGACTGTCCCTTTCCTCCCCGTCCTCAGAGCCCAAACCTTCTCCCAAGTCTCGAGCACTTTATATTTTATGTTTATTTACAGCTTTCTTTTCAGTTTTCCCCTTTGAGTTTCCCGCAGTCTTTCTGTTGTTGATTTATTTGCGCTCAGAGGAGAGCTGGCTGGATCACAGAGGCGCCGCTGGCAGAGCCTGGGAGCCCCGTGCGTGCCCATGTGAGTTCTCTCATCCGTAAAGGATTCTGCCTCCTAGCAAGCGTGATGGGTCATGGGAACACACAGGCCGGTGGCGGCAGCCCGGACAAGGACTCCGAACCCCCTGGAAGCCCAGCTGGGGGGATCCTGGACCGCCCTCCCCCTCTTCAGAGAATCATCAGGCAGGATTTGGGGCAACCCACATCCCTCTCTCGTGATTCACTTTTCCCTGGGGGGCCTCCCCCATGTCCCCCGGCCTCCCCATAAACGCACAGCCTCTCCCAGAGGCAGGAGTCATCCAGACGCACTGTGTGAAATATCGGGCTGGTGGAGGACACCCCCCGGCAGACCTGGCCTCCCCCGTTGCCTCATTATAGCAAGCTTTCCCACACACGGCCTCCCATTCGGACACCCTGGGAAGCTGGGAAGCCATCTGCTTATAGTAACGTGACTTATGACTTATGGTTATGATTATGATTCCTTTTTTTTTTTTGCAAAACATCTGCTTTAACGGGGAAAATGCTATCCGGAGGAGTGGTGGGCTGTAAAAATGCAACAGCAGGAAAAACTGCCGCTAATGGTCACTACATGGAACAGAGCCTCAGAGATCAGCAGGGCTGTCACGGAGGCGGCTCAGGAAGTGGCCTGTGACGTCCCTGCCAGGGCCTCAAAGAGACCCAGGCTCAGCCCCTGCTGGGGGAGGCAGCCCCGGGAGACCGGCCTCCTAGCAGAGGGCAGTCCCCTCCCCCAAGCCCTCCGTCACCTCTCAGCCCGCTCTGGTCCACGCTGTCAGTGGTGGGAGGGGGCAGGGACCCTAGACTCTGGGGCCAACAGCCCCTTGTCCGGCTGCTGGCTGAAGGAGGATGCCAGCGCTTTCAAACCTCCCTCTTTCCTCCAATTACGAGATTAACAACCCAACACAGACGTTTTCACCCACTTTAACTCCTTCCAGCAGCCTGGGCTAACCAGAGCCCTGCCTGGGGAGCCCCTGGGCCGCCTGAGTTCAGGGACTTGCTGTGTGACCCCGGGAAAGTCCGTTCCCCTCGAGGTTTCCTTCTCTGTGAAATGAGGGCTTAGGGCTTCTAGGTCAGCAGGGCCAGCGGTATCATGCCTGTTTTCTCTTCACTGGAATGTAAGTTCCAAGAGAGCAGGACTCTGTTACCCACTGTGTGCCCAAGACCTAAGAAAGTCCCTGTCACCAGGAAGTCACCCCAAAGATCTTTGATGTATGAATTCTGCAGAGTAGCAGACGGATGCCCTGAAGGTTCAGGGGCAGAGGTTTGAGAAGGAGCTCAGAGCCACTCTGAGCCCCCAGCTCAGGAGAATGCTTTCCCACGGCTCCCGGCTCCCGCCCATCCCCCCTCACCCCCCACCCCTCCTCCACCCCCACCCCCCTCCCCTTCTTTCTCAAAGGAGAGGCACGTTCCTGGGGCTGATGCTCCTCTGGCCAGGTCAGCCAGCGGGGTTAAGAGTCCCCAAGACTCTTTCCTCCGCATCCTCTCAGGAGAAGCAGGCCTGGCCCGTGGGTCTGGGGCTCCTGCCCCTGGAGCTGCTGCCCCGCTCCTGAGGGGCTCAGTCCTGCCTTTGGGAGTCGATTCTCTAAGCCCACCTCTGGAGGGGCCTCGTGAAGCTCTGGCGGCTGCCGGAAGCGGAAATGCAAATGGGCAGTTTCTAAAAACCAAGCCTTTGGCCTGTGATGGGCTGCTGGTCAGGATGGGGAGACAGGCTAAGCAGGTCTCTGGCCAGAGGAGGTTATGAGGTGTGGGGCCTTGACTGGACAGTCAGCGTCCTGCTGCCCCACCTGTGCCACCCGAGGGGGCGCAGTGACGTGACGGGGCTAAGGGAGAGAACAGGGGACCCAATAGCATTCTCCAGACCCAGCTGGTCTTCTCCTCCTCACTCCCCACCAACCTCCCTGCTCCCGGGCTTCCAGCATCACTGGGCAGAGAGGCTCAGGCACTCCCTCCAGTTCAGGCCTCTCTCCTGAGCTCTGGGATTAGATACTGTCCCTTCTGGTCCTCCCTGCAATGTGTCAGGAATCAAACTCAACATCTCTACCAAGACCTGGTCCTCCATGGGCTCAAGACCGAGCTTTGGGGGTCCCCAGAGGCTCTTCCCTCCCCCTCATGCCCTGCCTGCAATCCGCTTGAAGCCCCATGGATTCTGTCTCTTAACCACCCTGAATCTGCCCCCTCCTCTCCATCACACGCCATCTCCCGTCTCCTGGCTCCATCACCCTCTCCTGGCTCCATGATCCCTTCCCTGGCTCCATCACCCTCTCCTGGCTCCATCCCCCCTTCCCTGGCTCCATCACCCCTTCCCTGGCTCCATCACCCTCTCCTGGCTCCATCACCCCTTCCCTGGCTCCATCATCCCTTCCCTGGCTCCATCACCCCTTCCCTGGCTCCATCACCCCTTCCCTGGCTCCATCACCCTCTCCTGGCTCCGTCACCCCTTCCCTGGCTCCATCATCCCTTTCCCTGGCTCCATCACCCCTTCCCTGGCTCCATCACCCTCTCCTGGCTCCGTCACCCCTTCCCTGGCTCCATCATCCCTTCCCTGGCTCCCTCACTCTCTCCCGGCAGGAAGGTGGGCTTGTTCTTCGGAGCTGTGGGGGGACTGGGCTGGAGAGGGAGGGAGGGAAGTCGAGGGTGCGGGAGGAACCCTTAAAGGCCCGCCCTGACAGCCACCCAGGTGGGCCCACCTCAGACAGCACGTGGGAGGGGACGAAGGGTTGGAATCTACGGAGCACGCGCAGGACACGGGAGCTCAGAGAGGGTGCAAACTCGCGGAGGTCGGCCGGTGGTTGCGAGAGGCTGCCTTCAGAAGCAGGTTTCCCTGATTCTCACTGCCTCGGTCCTATTCGAAGTGGCTCCTTAACCTGTGCCTCAGTTTCTTCAACTTCACAAACAAGGAGGATGATGATGATGACGATGACGATAATGCCACCGTCCCAAGGCTGCTATGGGGCTCAGATGAGATGACGTCTGTCTAAACAAGGTCAAGAGCACAAAAGCTAGCTGGCCAGTGAGGGACCTGGGTCCTAACCCCCCGTCAGAGGGACTGGAAGTGCTCATCTAACCCTGCTTCCTCCTGCTCCATCATCACGTCGCTGTCCGCATCTTTGATGCAAAGCATACTAGGGGTGGAAAATGGCAGAGTCCTGGGAACTGAGGCTCCTGCCTCCAGGCCCCTGGGGTCCAGGGACAGCTGGGAGAGAAAGACTGGCAGTGGCAGAGTAGCAGCGACCCCAACCTCAGCGCGGGGCAGGGCCGGGCACAGGCCCTCCTTGGGTCTGCGGTTGGACACACGCCCGTGGCTGAGCCTCCAGACCACCCGGCCCAGCCCAGGTCGGGACGTTCTGTACCTTCCTCTGTGAGGCCTGGGGGCCTGTCTGCAGTTTTTATAAACCACAGAATGAGAGAGGGAACTGCTTTATCCTTCATTCCGAGAAAGGATCTGGTCTTTGTAAGAATCACCTTTTCACGACTGTCTAAACTTCTGCTGGTGGAAACCCCGTAATTGAATATGCTGCAACGAGGAAAATGCTGTGATAGGACAATGAGGGCTGGAGCAGACGGCAAAATGGAACACTCGTCTGGCTCCACCTATTTCAGTCAACCCGCCGGTGGAGGGGAATTGGCCAACAGAAAGCTGGTTCGTGGGGCGGTTCCTTCCCGGTGTTTTGTAATGTTGTTGCTGCACGGTGTTTTCATTTTTAAATTGTGTTTCAGAACTTCCTGAAGCCATAACAGCCTTCCCGCCTCCTTTGCAAACTCTGAAAGCAACATTTTTTTTTTTTTTTGGAGGAAGATTAGCCCTGAGCTAACTACCGCCAATCCTCCTCTTTTTTTGCTAAGGAAGACTGGCCCTGAGCTAACATCCATGCCCATCTTCCTCCACTTTATATGTGGGATGCCTACCACAGCATGGCGTGCCAAGTGGTGCCATGTCCACACCCGGGATCTGAACCTGCTAACCCTGGGCTGCCGAAGCGGAACGTGTGAACTTAACCGCTGCACCACCGGGTCGGCCCCCCAAAACTAACTTTTTGAGAAGAAGAGGCAAAAAGCGGGCAGAGCTGGGTTTTGGGGTGAATAAATACACAAATTGGCGAGAACTCCTCCGCCTCCCTTTCGCCCCAGGTGAGCTGAGAGGAGGTCAGGGGGCTGCTGGCACATCCCTCACCAGGTTCTGTGGGTGTCACAGTGCCCGGCCGGAGGGCAGGGACCTCTGGGGGTCAGCCTTGTTACTGCTGGCTCACCGACGTAGGGGGACAGCTGGTGAGAAGGGAGGACCCTGCCTAAGTGCTTTTCATTTAAAAATCCTGATTTTGTTCAATACTAAAGGAACCCCCCACCATAATTCCCAAACTATTCTAATAGCTCGGGGAGAGGAAGAGACACCTCCCCTCGGGGAATAAAATCATATTCCCGCAGGGGTACCTTCAGGATTCCTCATGGGGAGGTGCAGCCCCTACCCTGGGACCCCACCACTTGGGCCAGCCATTCTGAGGCTGAGGCTTGCCCCGGGGGAGAGGCTGAGGGGGCCAGGACAGGAGGCAAGTCTCTTCTGTGATCAGACAACCTGGCAAATCCTAGCTCCCACCACTCTGGGGACCTCCCTGAGCCTCAGTGTCTTCTTCTGTAAAATGGGGCTGCTAGTCCCTGACCTGGCTGCCTCGCGGAATCCTTGCTAAGCCATCAGATACGAGCACGGATGTGAGAGTGCTTTGGTGGTGGTTACAATTTGTGTGTTGTTAGGACTTGTTCCTCTGCAGCTGGCAGACTCTGCTCGCCCAAATCGCAGTGTTTGTGGCATCTGTGCCAGCCAAGGGCACGTGGCCACCGATTCCAGCTTGTCTCCCTCCAGCCGGGAGGTGTTCTGGCAAAGCTGCAGGCATCTGGGCTGAGGGAGAGAAACAGAGGCTTTGTGCAGAAAGATTGAACATTAACCACCCCAAATAAACAACAACAAGAAATGCCATTTCCAGTACTTCTGTGCCATGCACTTTAGATCCAATATTTTTTCTAATCCTCGCTGCAACCCTGTGGCAGAGAAACTATGATTTTGCAGATGGGGACATTGGGGCACAGAGTGGTTAAGCAACCAATTGCAGGTCACACAGCAGGGATGGGAACCCAGGACTGTCTGACTCTGGCAGTCACACCCTCCACCACCAGGCAAATTGCCTTTCTGTTTGGGCAGTGGCCCTGGTGGCCTGCAGGAATAGAGGACACCAGGCTTTTCAAGGGGGGTACAAAGATGGAAGAGACAGTGATTACATATGCAACCACTGTATCAGTTAGCTATTGCTGTGTAACCATCCCCAACATCAGTGGCTCGTTGAAACAGCAGCCATTTGTTACTGTTCACAGTCTGCAGTTTGGCTGGTCCATCCTTCTGCTCTCTGTGGTGAGGTGCAGGCTGGGAGATGGCTCTGCTGCTCTTGGCGGTGGGCTGGTCTGGGACCCTTCTCCACAGGCCTCTCTGATCCTTCCAGCGAGCTGGCCGGGACACATTCTCGTGACAAAGGCAGAGGAGCAAGAGGGACGTGGAAATGCACAGATGCTTTTTCAAGCTCTACTCGCATCAAGTTGGCTGCTGTTTCATAGGCCAAAGCGAGTCACAGGGCCAAGCAGAGTCAGTGTGGGAGGTCACGACCCAAGGGCAAGGATACAGGGAGGCAAGAAAAACTGGGACCATTGTCACTATCAGCCCATCATGGCCCCACTGGATAGCCTGTGTCTGCTGACTCTGTGAGACCCTCCCCAGGAGCTGGCCTAGCTTTCCGGATGGTATCCTTACAAGCAGGGGAAATCTTTCTGCTTCATAAAGAGCCAGCTTCTTCGTTCATCCTCAGGACAACCCTGAGAGGCTGGGACCACGAGCCTCTGCTCCAGCGGAGAGACAGAAGCTGGCAGATGTGAACAGCTAGTCACAAAGCCGGGAGGTGGCCAAGGCTGGTCACGCATTCATTCCACAAACATTTAATCAGTGCTCACTCGGTGCCAAGCACGGTGAACGGTGCTGGGGCCACAGGGCTGACTGACACCCCCTCCTGGTACCTGAGAGTTCAGAGCCTGTCGTCTGCTTCTGGAGCCACAGCCCGTTTGCATTGGACCTTCCTGCAGGCAGCTCTGAACGCTTTGCAGAGCCTTTCCCGTGTGCTCTGCCATTTCATTCCCATCACGGCCGTGGGAGGTGGACAGAATGGGGGCGTTTCTTCCCTTTTACAAATGGTGACCCTGAGCCCCAGAGAGGCCAAGCGACTCGCTTGCCTGGGGTCAGCCAGCAAGTGCCCAGCAGGGTCTGAACTGAAATCTGGCTCTTCCGAAACCCACATGGGCCCTTTCCAGAACACCA